ACAAATTTCAAGCCATGTTGGCGATTCTAATATTTTAGAAGCATAAGGCTTTCCATTTCTAGAAATATTGTTTCCATGATCGACAATTAAAATATTTCCTTTTATTGGAATTTTATTTAGATTATATTTCATGATTTTAATATTTTTTTTATTATTAGTATTAAAGTATTCATATTTACAGAACTTAACAAAGATTTCATTATTTAATATTGATTTTTCTATTTCGTTTTGCATTTAATTTTCTTGTACCTTATTAAAATTATTTATAGTTTCCATTCTTTTATTATAAATTTCAATTCCTTTAATTTCTTTTTATACATTTTTTACATTTCGATTTTTATTTTTAATAGAACAATTCTATTAAAAAATATTTTAATTATTATTGCATTTCGATTTTTATTTTTAATAATTAAGTTTTGCGGAAAATATTTTTATTATTATTGCATTTCATAAGTTCCCTAAGTTGACACTATCTTATCATTAATTCCTCTTAAATATATTTTTCTGTTTTCGTGTACTAGTGTGTCACCTGTCAAAGCACTAAATTTTATTAAATTAACAGCGCTTCCAGTATCTATCAGCAATTCTATAAATTCTTTCCTTATTTTGACAGACTGACATGTGACATGATTGTTGTTTAAGAATGATACAATGTGTAAGCATTTCTCGAAATCTTCCTCAACAGCGGCTATTAAATTTATCGGGCGAGCGCCACTCATGTCGCCTGATCTTGGCAAGTTTCCCGAATTATTATTGTACCTATCGTTATTCTGTTTCCTAAAACACCTGGTAACGTCATGTCCAGATTTTTTACAATACGTGCACATAACGTCTACCGGAGCGTTGTAATTAGTAGGCTGTCGTGTGAAATTATTGTTAGATGGACGCGAATTGTATCTATTACGATGCTGTACACAATCCCGGGCAAAATGATTGCCTCCGCATTGATAACATCGTATGTTACCTATTGCATTGTTATTATTCCGATAATTACTACCACGATTATAGTCATTGCTGCGATTAAAATTATTATTGTTGCGAGGCTGGTATTGATTATTATTGAAACTGTTCTTATTATCAGGTCTATTAAAATTCGGATTTCGATTGTACTGTGGTCTAATATAATTCGAATCTCTAGGATTGTAATTTTGTCTCTGTGAATTGTCATTGTTATGATTCGGTCTATTATTAGTGGATGAATTGTAATTATAACGATTATTAAAATTATTATTCCGCCTATTAGAATTATTGGTTTCCCTGGTGGAGTTGTTTACTTGTCTACCTGAACTATTGCCTCCATAATATTGGTATGCATCTGACTCAGACTTAATTTCGGTCTCTTCGTCCTTAGCAACCTGGATAGCTGATTCTAAAGTGGGTGGTGTTTGAGATTTCTTATCATCAATTATGGTTGTGTTGTCAACCGATTCGTTATCAGTTTCCTTCGAACTGGTTGTACTTGACTCACTATCATCGTTACTAATTATATCAGAACTTGTTGTACTTGATTCACTATCCTCGTTAATAATTATATCAGAACTTGTTGATTTAATTACTACTACTTCCCTAAGTTCCTGATCTATCAATTGTATACTTTCAGATTCACTTTCAGTCAAACTAGTGTTATTATCTTCTTGACTCATTAATCAATAATCACTTAATGTAATAGTGTAAACGAAAACGGAATTAAAGTGCAACTGACACACTAGTGTACAAAATTTTAAATCGTACGCAATAATTAATTCTCTAACGAAATTTAATGAAAATACTAATAACTATAGTGCGTAAAATAAACAATAAATTATTAATCAAATAATCAAACAATCAAAATAAATCAGCAACAATTAACAATAAATAATTAATAACAATCGTTACCAATTATTTACAATCAACCCGATTGCTTCAATACTTCAATCCAATTTAATTACTTAATAATTTATTTAAAGTAATTTTATTAATAATAAAAATTTTAACTTAACTTGCCTATTTTAGATTTAATTTTAATTTAATTAATCAATACGATTTAAAATTAAAATTTAATTTAACTAGTTACTCTAATTTTTTTTTTTTTGCTTAATTCAAATTAATCAGTCAATACGACATCTATTTAAAATAGTAACTCTTATTACTGTATTAATTGAATTAAATTTTTCTTTATAAATCAACCTACTCTTTTCAACACATAAGGACTTATTCCGGCCTTGTAAAATAAAATTCAAAATATAGACTCACTGTCTTCAAATAATTCACAATATCAGGACTTAAAATGCACGTCTGCATAGCCTATAAAATTCAATAATATCGACTTCAATTGTCGTAATAACACAAATAACACAAAAGGACTTACAACACGGCCTATAATAAAATTCAATAACAAAACGACTTACAACACGGCCTATAATAAAACTCAATAAATTCTCAATATATATATTCACCACATATTCAACAGTAAATAATTAACCCCCTTTTACTTAAAATTATTCTTGATTAATTCTTAATTTATTATAATAATCAGCACGAACTGTTTCAATGAATTGCTTCTAGAATGGAATTTGTTAACTAGAGAAAACTTCTTAAATAATTTCAACTATAATTGTTAATTAATTAATAAAATAAATTTTCCTCAAATTGATTACTATCTGCAATAATTTATTAAATAAAACAATGCCTTTAATTTATTTCTTCTCTAAATAACTGAATTGAATTTCCGTTGTATTTCAATAACTATATTTATTCCTAAAATAATTTTATTATTCTATAAAATTATTAATTGATTCAATTTATTATAATAATCAACACAATTGAATTCGATAATCTGATGCGTAAAATAGAAATTGTTCAGCTTAAATAAATTTAAATAGTAGGTACAAATGTCTATAATTAATCAATCAGAAAAATTATATTTGAATATGAAATTAAAATCCGAACAGTTAAATTGTTTAACTAAACGAATAAAATTTATTAAAAATTTTTTTTTTATTTTAATTTACTTAAATGATTAAATTAAATTGTTGAATTAAATTATTCAAATGATTGAAAATTATTTTAAAATCAAAGTACTATTTCTATTTTATTTAAATGATTGAAATTTATTTTAAATTTAATTTATTATGTTAAGTTAAAATTGGATTATTAATTTAAATTATTTAACTGATTGGATAATTTTATTGTAAAATAAAATTATTGTTTTATTGTAAAAATAAAATTATTGTTTTATTCTATTTAACGGTTGAAGATTTTGTTTAAAATAAAATTATTATTTTAATTTAATTTAATAAAATGATGGAAAAATGTTTTAAATTATTTTAAATTTATTAAATGATTGAAAATTATTTTAAGTTAATTTATTATTTTAAATTATTTAAATTATAATGAATTTATTTTATTAAAATGGTTAAAAATTGTATTTAATTTAAACTATTATTTTATTTTATTTTAATTTTATTTATTATTTTAAATTATTTTAATGTTAATGAATTTATTTTATTAGAATGGTTAAAATTTATTTATTTTAAACTATTATTTTATTTTATTTTAATTTAAATGATTGAATAAATTTATTATAAATAAAATTATTATTTTATTTTATTTAGAAATGACTTAAAGTACTGAACAATATCTATCTTATTCTATTAAAATGATTGAAACATAAAATACCTGAAAATAAAAATTTTATTTAATTTAATTTAAAGTTAAAAAATTTTTTAATTTATTTAAAATAATTCATGACTTATTTTAAAATAAACTATTATTTTATTCAATGTTATTTATTTTAATCCTTGAAAAACTATCGATTTATTTTATTAAAACACTGGTAAAATTCAACACAATTTCGGTTTATTGAAACGAAAATTCAAAGTTCCTAAAAATTCTTATATTACTTAATATGACTAGTTTCTTCACTTATTATTATATACTATGGTCATGCATAAACCATAGGAGACGAACACCACGATATTAATTACGTAAGCATACTTACAAAAACGCAGCTGGTACAGCGGGTGCTTCCATTTTCTCGGTTGAAATGTTGATTGTAGTTGAGTGTTACGTAGTTGTACAGGATTCTTTCTCGGAGTTGCTGGAAGGTGATCAATCTCCCAACGGTGGTCCAGTGATGAATTTTCCTCCTTGATTGAATTTTAGAAGTTGAAAAATTTTCAAAAATTTTTTAATTGTTCTTCAGGTTTCTTCTAAGTATCCTTTGAGACACCCTGTCCACAGCGCCAATTTTGTAACGTGCCAACCACTTCAACTCAATATTGATGGTATTTTGAATTAAAATGACAAGTTGATGGTATAATGATAGTTTATTTGTATTTATTTAACACGAAAAATATTCTAAGTCCAAATAATTAAATTATAAAATTGTGGTAAACGGGTTGTGACTTAGTATCGACTTTGTGGCTGTTTGTTCTGCTAGTGCTCGTCGTCTTGGCTGGTGTTCGTCTGATGGACACTTGTCCATCGACGTATTTCGTCGGTTTTCCTATTAGATCCCTCCTATGGCATTTTTAGTATAAAAATGGTACATAGCCGCGTACACCTGACGTCATTTCGGCGTCCTCTACGAAATAATGTTAATTGGGATTATATGTTTTCAAAGCTATCTATTTTTGTTATTTACGGCTTTTTCGTCTTTCCTAGAACATGGATAATTCGCGCGTATACCTATTGCGCTGTACTATTAATTAGTTCTGTACTCTTATCGATGTGGCTGCCCGGACGCTTATATTATTACTATTATCGGGTTGCGTGCCTTCTGCAGCATTTATATTTGTTATTGAATATAATATATTATATTATAAGCGTATTATACTTAATACAGCATAATATAATATATTATTTTATATATTATTACTATTATAATATGTACGTAGTCACAGCCCGTTACACACATAATATTGATAAAGGCAATTTTATTATTTTTTTAGTTTGTCAGAACCAGTCAGAAAACACTTATTATTAATTTGTACAAAAAGTATCTACTGGAACAACCAACAATGCAATACATCGATCTAATGATGTCGTTGTTGACTGATACGGGGATCGGTTTACGCACAATAAGAAGTACTGTAAAGGAGTATAAAGAAACAGGAGTACTGTCCTCACCAAACAAAAAAAAAATACGATCTACAGTTATTGAAAAAATTGATGATTTTAATAAGAACACGATTCGCCAAAAAATACACGGCTTCTGGTTCAGACAAGAAATACCTACACTGATGAAAGTTTTGGCGGTTATTAACGAAGATTCTGAACTTCCAAATCTATCTCGTAGTGGTTTGTATCGGTTGTTAGCTGACTTAAATTTCGAATTCACTAAAAGAAATAGGAATAGTGCACTTACAGAGAGGAATGATCTGACGTTTTATCCGAGATATAAGACTTTATAGAGATGAAGGTCGAACAATTTATTTCTTAGATGAGACTTGGGTTAATGCCTGGGTAAAACTTGGGTAAATTCCGGGGAGTGTACGAACAAAGTGTGGGTCGACAACACCGTAAAATCGTGCCATGATGCATTCATAAAAGGACTAACGACTGGGGCCAAGAATCCTACAGGTAAAGGCAAACGATTAATTGTTCTACATATTGGTTCATCTAACGGTTTCGTCGAGGGTGGTCTGCTGTGTTTTGAATCAAAAAAAAATTCAGCCGACTACCACGACGAAATGAATGGTGATACATTTTTTGAATGGTTTTGTAGAGACTTACCTCTATTGAACGAAAATTCTGTGATAGTGATGGACAATGCGTCGTACCATTCAGTGAAAAAGGACCCAATACTAACAAAGTAACAAAGTCTTGGACAAAAAATAAAATCGTTCAATGGTTGCAAGACAAGAATGTAGAGGTTGACAAAACATGGCTCAATATTGAACTGTTAGACAAGGTTCAACAGTTTCGACCTGTTGATAAATACGTCATTAACGAAGAAGCAAAAAAATATAATAAAATTATCCTACGTTTACCACCGTACCATTGCGAATTAAATCCAATTTAATTAGCATGGTCGGTGGTAAAAAATCACGTGAGGCAGAACAATACTACGTACAAATTGAACGATGTACGGCAATTGTTGATAGATGGAGTTAATGGAGTTAAAAAAGTTACTCCGGAAATGTAGGCCAATTTTGTAAAACACACCATCGCAGAAGAAAACAAGATGTGGGATATTGATTGTATTTCAGAAGAAATGTTAGAATAAAATGCTTCAACCACTCATGTACTCACAATAACAGGGGAGACAACTTGGGATTCCGACTAATATGAAATATTAAGTACTTATTATTTTTTTTTATACATTCTTATTCTTATTTATTGACAATATACAAATTAAATAAATATTAACTTGTGTTTACTATTATTTTATAACAAAAAAAATACCTGTACCTATCACTCATAATTTTTTAGTGATGGTAAACACTCAGGGGGCGCACCCAGGATTTTCTTTTGGGAGGGCTAAATTGACATAGATGTAGCTGTAGCATTATTATTTATTGCCGATGAACTGTCTATAGCAACTGATTCTTTTTGGACTTCTGCAGGTGTGGTGTGTGACCCAACTTTAAAATAATTTAATAATGATCCAGAATGATTACGTTTCATTATATTAAAATTTTAAATCCACTTATTTGAATAAACAAAAAACAATTAACAATTAAAAATGAATAAATAAATAAATAAGCTCGCCAAAAACCAATGATGTCGACTTGAACAGTTGTACGACAGTCGACAATACTAGTTAATCTGCTAAATAAGTAATAAAATGAAAGTGGAGTTTGTTAACGCAAAGATACCTGCGGTTTGCGATAATCTAAATTGTATCGATAAAAATGTATAATCTAGACGTTTCCGGTATCCTACACAGTACACAGTTTCAACTAACGACGTCGCGACGATAATAATAGACAACAGAGGTCTCTCCCGGGGCCCGGAATGACAGGTATAAATATAATAAAATTATAAAATCAATGATATAATATAATATTATGTTATACCTAATGTTTCAATTTCGATAGTTGATAATTTTTTTTTTATAACAATTTAAAGTAAAATGTCAATTTGTCAATAAACCTAATAAAATTATCAAAATGTTTGGGGCTAGACATTTGGGGGGGGGGCTAAAGCCCGTTAGCCACCCCCTAGGGTGCGCCCTTGTAAACACTACAGTACGCTGTATACACGTTACACCGAATGTTTTCGGGGTGTATAATAGATTTGGCTAGCCGCCGGGCAGTAAAAAGTGGGGGAAATTTGGCCTCCGCGCTGTTGACGGCGGCAGTCGGATGCGCGACTCGTGTGATTCGCGGTAAAAAAGTCCGAGACATAAAAAGTCCACCGTAAATAAGTCCTAAGCCAGAAAAGTCCGGGGTAAAAAAGTCCGGTAAATATTATATTACATATAGTATATACATAACAATATTTATATCCAATGATTAGAATTATGTACTTATAGTATAATAACATAAAATATACATAATATATCAATTAATTAATTAAATTGAGTATTAACTATCGTCATATAAAATATTATACAAAAAAAAATTCAATGATTATAATATTATGTAGTTAGTATCATAACATAACCTAAAAAAACAATTGAAATAATTATTACATACTAATATTGACACTACGCATCTAGTATTACTAATATATTTACAAAAAAAATTCAATGGTTATAAAGTTTATCTAGTATTATGAATTATAAATTAATCAGTGACTGTCAATCAACTGTCGTCAAAAAAATAATATTTAAACTTTAATTTTTTTTTCGGACTTTATATTTCGGACTTTTCCACCGTTGACTTTTTATACCTCGGACTTTTTAACCACGGACTTTTTATACCTCGGACTTTTTAACCACGGACTTTTTTACTCGGACTTCTTTTCCTAGGACTTTTTTACCTCGGACTTTTTGGTAGTATACCGACTCGTGTACCTTCTCTAGTGAAATAGAGTATAATAGACAGTAGTCTGGTTCCATCTGAATCAGTGACCACCAGTGTTGTTATCTGTTCGTCCCTACAAGTCATATTTTTCTTTTCATTTTAATAATTTGTTTTGCTATTCTTATGTTAGTCCAATCTACTATTGCGTTAACTACTTCTATTCTTACATTAATAAAATTAATCTATAGCTGTGCATTTTTTGTTCTACAGTGAAAGCTTGTACTATGGTAGCTTGTACCTACTAATCTACTAGGAATCCATTACCATGCATACTTTATTCTACAATAACATTTATCTAAACTATAATTATTTATTACATTATATCCTATCATAAAGTATTACATATTTGTTCTCAATTCATATATTTTCAGTTTTCAATTTTTTTTAGTTTTTTTTTCTATAAATATCAATAAAGTTTTATCTGTTATGCAAAAAAGTGTAAAAAATAAATACAAGGCTCCTGATTCATTGTTACAATAGCAATTGAAAATTTTTAAAAATACATAGGCACAATTTTTTTTTATAAGCATTTAAAGATCGAATTTTGACAACATTTTTCAAAATCTCGAAAATTATCAATCATTGTAATTAATAAATTATAAAATGTTCAGTTTTCATAGCTAAGGTTTAAAACAAAGGTTCTCATAAATAGTTCATACTGAAACCAAAAAATCCAAAGAATATATGAACACAGTTATTTTTTACAGACATTTTAAATTCAAATTTGGACGAAATTACATAATAAAAAACCTAGATTAACTATTTTAGTTATTTTGTTGTGATTGTATAATATTTTTCGTGAGTACTTGAAACTTCTAAAGTATACTTCTATATATCTATGATAGTATCAGGGTTTGTTGTTGGTGTATAACGCGTTATAAGTACTTATCAGATATTGATGATGACATTTTGGATCCAGATTTCACTTTACCGAGCCATGAAGAAGATGATTTAGATGGTATACTTGTTTTTATCTCAGATAATGATGAAGGTAGTGAAGTTGAACAATGTCAAACTGGATTAGGACCTGAAGTAATTATTGAAGAAACTAGTGAAGTTGAAGAACGTGAAACTGTATTGGGACCTGTAGTTATTGAAGAAACTAGTGAAGAAGAAACGCCTTCTACTTCTACAGGTAAGAAACGAAAACGTGATCCAAAAAATTGGAAAAGAAATGTTTTAAAAACTAAAAAAGCAACGGGTGAACAGTATATTAATATTCAAAATAAATTAATCCCTCCTATAGTTATTGGTCCTGATTGTAAATGCACAAAACAATGTTTTATTAATATATCTGATGCCGATAAAAATGAGTTGATATCATATTTTAATTCTATTGGGGATAAATGCAAGCAAGATACACTATTAGGTGGACTTATTCGTGTAAGTGAAGTCATGCGACACAGAAGTAGGGATGGCAATCGACCTAAAAAAAATTGCTCAGTAAAATATTCAATAAGAGTTGGAATAAATGATTTTGAAGTATGTAAGAAGGCATTTTGTTCACTCCACGGTATTGGTAAATCTAGAGTAGAGAGGATTGTGCAGAAAATTAAAAATAAAGTTCCTAGTCCGATTGATAATCGTGGAAAACACTCAAATAGGCCTAACAAGTTACCTGCTTCAATTTGTTTTCAAATTAATACACATATCAACAGTATTCCAAAAAGACATTCACACTATAGCAGATCAGATAATAACAACACTAGATATATGTCACCAGACCTGTCTATTGCAAAATTGTATAGGTTATATTTGCAAAAGTATGAACCATGCTTCTGGGATGAATACAACAAAGAAAATAGTAGTCAGATAAAACCCATTTTAAAATATGCTTACTTTCACAATTATTTTATCACAAACTTCAACATTTCTTTTACTCATCCTAGGACTGACACTTGCCAAACATGTGATAGATTAAAAAATATATTTAACAATAAAACAAATAATGAAGAAATAGCATCACTTAATCTTGAAAAAGAGATCCATCTCAGAAAAGCTGAGATTTTTTACAAAAACCTAAGAGTATCTCTCAAAGCTAAAGAAAATAATGATATAGATGTATTAAGTTTTGACTGTCAACAAAACATGCCTTTACCGCATATCACATCAGGTGATGTGTTTTACAAAAGACAGTTATGGTGCTATAACTTTTGTATTCATTCTGCTAAAAGTGGAAAATCTCATTTTTTTATGTATAATGAAACTATTTCAAAAAAAGGGCCTAATGAAGTGATCAGCTTTTTACATTATTACATTAAAAACATACTTAACCCAAATGTAAAAAAGCTATATTTATTTTCCGATAACTGTAGTGCGCAAAATAAAAACAAAACCTTACTACAATACTTATCAGCTATAATGAATACTCGGGATTTTAAGTTGAAATCAATAATACATCAGTGCACAGAGCCTGGGCATAGTTTTTTACCTTGTGACCG